AAGTGCCTTTTCAGAGGGTGCACGTAGAAAGCGGATCAGCCAGGGTGAACCCTCAGCCCTTGTTCCATGTCTTGTCTCGTCCCTTCCTCTCGGCCTCCTGCAATTTCGCCCCCCTGTGCAGACCCTGGGTCTCTCGGGCTCCCCGAGCTGACCTTGCTGTTGGGTCCAGGTAGGCATTCTCCACATCCTCCTCTGCATTCATCCCTCCTGTCCTCAGTCTCACCGAAGGGAGGCAGAGCCCCTTACCTTTCCAGTCACATTCTGCCCCATCTTCGGTGGGGACCGAGCCATCCCCTGGCACGCCAGAGTCTTAAGGGCTGCCACACCCTTGCTGTTGGTGTAGTAAGGCCCTCCCAGTGCCCGATCCTGTCTAAAACCTCCATGCTAACACCCCTGGCCATCTGTAGTCACACAAGGATTAATTGACTCTCTGCTTCCTTGTGGCTTTGATTTGCTGATGCCCCTGGGATACCTGCCCCCAGCTCTACATCCCGCCTCTACCCTCAGGGAGCTGGCAGACCAGTGGGGAGCCGGGCAGGGAACAACCAGGCAACCAGTGCCCACTTGCTTGCAGGCGCAGTGAGAACCGTGCTGCAGGCTGCAGGTGGGGGCTGGGGCTGGGTGGGCAGGGCACAGGAGAGAGCTAGTGAATGTGGCCTGGGCCGGGGGTGGGGGGGCAGGAAAATGTGAGGGGTGGGAAGCAGCAAGCCCCCTGAAGGCCTGGTGGGAGAGGGTTTCAAGCAGGCAAACCTGGGGCAGTGAAGGTCTCATGGAGAGGGGCGGGTGGACACCGCTGGAGGCTGTCAACCTGGAAGAGGAGCCCTGGTGGCTTCATGGTTATGGTGTACCGCGGCACTGTGATCTGCAAGGTCAGCAGTTTGGGACCTCCAACTGTGCTGAGGGAGAAAGAGGATGGGGTTTTCCTCTCCCAGAGAGTGACTGTCTCCGAAACCCACAGGGGCCAGGCCACCCTGTGCTGTCGGGTCGCTGGGAGTCAGACTAGACTCAACGGCAGTGAGTTTGGTTAAACGTGGAAGAGACTCTGTAGCTCACTGAAAGAGCAGGTCTCAAACCTGGAACCCCGGAACACGTTTCCTGCAGTGAAATAGAATACCCCGCTGGGCCCTTCTGTTTCAGAGGAGAGCTGGGCCCCCAACCAGGGTTCCCAAAGAGCTGTTGTTTTAGACCGAGATCACCAGGCCTTTCTTTCAAGCCACCTCTGGGGTGACTTCGCTGAGGGCCCTAACCATTTGACTCGCCTGAACTCTGCAGGGACCCTCTCCATTGGGGACGGGCATTCCTACTGTGGCATACGTAGAGAGGGAGCCTGGGTCTGTCACCCCTCCACCCTTGACAAGTTGTTCTCTGTGACCCTGGGATTCCGGCTGCCTTCTCCCATGGGGACGGTAGGTATTTAAACACGTGTGATAGGTACCTCTGTGGCTGCATTTCCTTCCCTGAGGGGTTGCAGCTGGCTCACCATAGACAAGAGCAGAAGCACCCATGCTGCCCAGGTGATCCTGACCCCAGAGACTCCAGGCCACGGAGTCAGCTGCCCCCTCTCCTCCTTTCCCCTCCCCTCCCACTGGGTCTCCAAGAGGTCTCCTTCACAGGAACAGATCCCCACTTCTCTCTGTGCAGATCCCCTGGGGGTCTACCACCCATATCGAGGCTAGCAGCCTCACTCTCAACCATGGTGCCATCAGGCTTTCTATAGGCCCCTGAGTCCCGGAGAGCTGTTGCCCCCTGACCCGATGCCTGGGCTCTGCCTTCATGACCTCCAGGCTCTGCTTGTCCACAGGAGGACCGGCCTCCTCCGGGCGAGAAGGTGACAGAACAGCTGCAGGCCAGCTGCCTCTCCAAGATGCTCAGGAAGCAGGGCTGGTGGTGGTGGGCCAGGCACACGCAGTAAACTCAGCATGCCAGGGCCTTCGAGTCCTGGGGTTTAAAATAAATATGCATGAGAGGCAAGCGGGGCGGCGAGCTGTTTTCTGCAAACCTCTGGTGTTTCTGGCCCTAGCTATTTCTGGGTGAGGGGCAATCAATGCCAAATGCACTCCCGGGTCTAGAAAGGAAATTGCTGATCTGTGGCATTGACTTTGGGCTGGGGATTAACGGAAGACTAAGTTTCCTAAGAGCCATTTAGCATAGCGATTTTAATTCCAAGAGGCTTAGAGTGAGTGGTCCACTCGGCATGTGAATGCTGTTGGTGAGCGTGCCAAGCTTCCGCTGTGTTTTCTCCTGAAGGTACATGGACACCTCCTTAATCGACGTGGACGTGCAACCAACCTACGTGCGCGTGATGGTGAAAGGGAAGGTAGGTTTCCTCTGGCGCCTCCTACAAGCTCAGAAGCTAAGGCTGGGCCTGCACTAGACTGTCCCCATCTTTTTTTCTTTTTCTTTTTCTTTTTTTAAGTATTATTGAAACAGAAAAAGAAAAAGGAAAAAAAAAAGAAAGAAATAGAAAAAGACTCCAATCAAGGAGCTACTTGTTAAGGCCTAACTTTCACCCTTAGGTCTACCAAACCTTGCGGCTGGCTGCAGATCATTGTTCAGCTTGATATAATCCATCTGTTTGATGCTTATGTCCCTGTGGTTAGTACATCCCCCCGACCCCCACCCCACCCAGGATGATAAAATGACTACGTAGGTGGTAGCTTCTGCCCAAAGTTAGTGTATCCTTCTCAATGGCCAATGCTTTCATTGATCACCACTGTCATTTCAGAGCTAACTTTTTTAAAACAGCCTTTAAACATTTTTTTTTTGCTGCTGTAGGAGCCCTAGTGGCATACTGGGTTAAGCAGGGGCATTGCCGGTAACAGCAAGGTCAGCAGTTTGAATCTACCAGCAGCTCCGCAAGTAGGAAGATGAGGCTTTCTACTGCCTTAAATGGTTACAGGCTCAAAAACCCCAAGGGCTAGTTCTCCACTGCCCTCTGTCGGGTGGCTGTGAATTGGAATCAGTTTGATGGCAGTGAGCTTGGTTGAGTTGGGCCACTGAGCCTTTAAATTCAAGTTAGTTTGAAGGCTTCTCAAATGGAAACATGTTGACTGGAAGTTTCATCTGTAAATTGCTCCCCAGCTGTTTTTCACTCTTGGTGGTTAATGAAAACTCTCCTTCGACCCTTCAGTAAAATTGTTCAGGAGTGTAGAACAGAGCCACATCTGAATCTCCCCTAAGACGTCCAAGCACGTTTTCCCCATGGAACGGCAGACCCGGAACTTCGCCCTCTCCAGGGCTACGGGCTGCCCCCAGATCACTCTTCGCCTTTTTCTCCAGCCATTTCAACTCGTCCTTCCTGCCGAGGTAAAGCCCGATAGCAGTTCTGCGCGGAGATCTCAGACCACGGGCCACCTGGTCGTCTGCATGCCCAAGGTAGGCAAGGGCTCCTGTAGCCACTGGGCCTGATTGGTCCCTTCCTGGGAGAACTGGAGCAGTTGGGGCTGATGTCCACTCTGGCTGGGAGAGCCAGGGACTCTACTCACAGTGATTCAGGTAGGAGGACACAGCCATGAGGCCGGGAAGCAGGTGGGGGCCAGGTGGTCCCTCCATCCATCTCACCAGTGGGTCTGGCTCTTTGCCACCCTTCTCCCTACCACCACCCCCCCCTGCATCTCTGCAGACCAGAAGTGAACCAAGGGTCTTTCCCTAGGAGGGAGGGTGGCCTCAAGGACACACAGTTCCCAGGTTACAAGCCTCCGACTCCAGCTTACACACTGCCCAGGCTGATAAGCCAACCACCCAGGAAGCCAATTTAATAACAAGCTGAAGGCCACACAATGGTTTCTAAATAGCAAACAGTGTTGCCCATTTTTTGGTTACTGTCTTCTTATGATGCGGATGTTGTAGTGTATCTGGAACTATTTCTTTGTTTTTACTCACGGTATTCTAAGACAGACCTCTGGCAGGCATTAGATTTGAACTGTCCCTAACTGTCCCCATGTACCTGCTGAGTCAACAGGCTCAGGGTGGAATTCCGCCATCATCCAGGGCCTACCCAGAAAACTTGAAATGCCAGGATTATTTGTTTTCTCAGATTATGTGAAGGTAAGATAATTTACTATTTGCTTAAAAAAAATGTTTCATTCTTTGCCAGTTAAGTATCCATGTGTGTGTGTGTGTGTGTGTGTGTGTGTGTACATGTGTACCCAATTTCCGATGGTGGTGGTGTTGGATTTACGTAATCTTAAATGCTTTGGATTTTTCTCTACAAACGATGGGTCCCAAAGCGGGTCTGTTTATGTTGTTGAAAGCCGCTGTGGACCTTGATAAACACACGTTTCCCTCCATGCACTTTGCCTGCGGCAGAAACCCCTCCTTTGTGGAAGTCTTTGCAGGAGGTCACGTGAGCATCTCTCTGGAGCCCTCAGCCGAGTCAGACTGTCACGGCCCGCGGGAGCCAGCACACAGGGCGGTCAGACAAGGCTGCTCTGGTCTTCCGTTCCAGAGTGGAAGCTCAATCTGTGGAAAGGGCCTTCGTAACCAACCCCCAAACCAAACTCACTGCCCTCGAGGCCATGCTGACTCCTGGTGACCCCTTAGGACAGGGTAGAGTTGCCCCGGAGGTTTCTGAGACTGAAGCTCTTTATGGGAGTATTGTTTGTCTCACTGGAGTGGCTGGTGTTTTGAACTGCTGACCTAGCAGTTAACAGCCCGACCAGTAACCATGACACCACCAGGGCTCCCGGGATCTTTACAACAAACATGCTTCAGCAGGAAAAGCAGGGGGACATCCTAAAACTGTCATCCATGGGAGCATCAAGATGACGGATCAGCAGGTCTCCTGGTTATAAAGTAAAGCGCTGTATTAAAATGTCGGCTTCAGAGCAAAATAAAAGTTTCTGCCAAAAGGCAGGCCCTTAATCCTGCATTGGGGACTGGCTGATGAGCACTGGGGCCGGAGCTGGATAATTCCTAGTTAATTGGATCTCCAGCCAGTTGGAGGCCACCGGCTTGCCCCCCGGAGGGGAGTCACCTTCCCTCGCCCCAGCCCAGGGCTTCACGTGTGCTTGACTCTCTCCTCCGACAGCTGGTCCTCACGGCTCTCACTGGACACAGAGCAGAGCGAGAAGCAGTGGGATGTGTAGGATCTGACGGTGTGAACACAGCCCACTGCTCCACTGACCCCACCAAACCCGTGGTCATCGGTCGATTCTGACTCCGAGTGACCCCACAGGACAGAGCAGAGTGACCCCTGAGGGTCTCTAAGGCTGCCTTCGTTACAGAAACCAACTGCCCCTCTTTCTCCCATACACCGGCTGGCCTCTGAGTTCGGACCTCAGTTCCCCGTCATCGGCCGAGTCATAAGCACTTTAACCGTGTGTGCCACCAGGGCTCCGCAGCATTACCACGACTTGTGTGTTGCAAGAGGGCGTGGCCACGCCTTACAAGGGGGCTACATTTGGGGAGACTCCAGAAAGAGCCCAGAGACCCAGATGTCGCCACTGATACCAGGGGTCACCTGGTGGCCCCTGACCTGTTTGTTCTTGTTGTGACCCACATACAGATTGTCGTTCGCCACCGTGAACACACCCATTCAACGTAATAGAGCCTGTTGGTGATCCAGGGACGGTCAGTGTGTCTGTTTTGTGGCGATCAGCACTTTGCTTCCTAATACCTTTGTGAGGAGATATCATGGGCTTAGGATCCCCAAAGTCTCAGAAGCCCACAGGGGCAGTTCTACCCTGTCCTACAGGGTCGCTGTGAGCCAGAAAAGACTCGATAGGCATGAGTTTCAGGATCCATAAAGATGAAATAGCACCTGAATTACAAGGGTTCAGTTTCCTAGTCTCGTGACTTTGGGAGATTAGGTAGCCTCACTAAGCTTTTATTTCCTAATATCGCTCTTAAGAGACACACAGCACATAAAAGGCATAGACTATTAAACACTCAGTGAGTACCAGCTAGCATTCCTTTTAGTGCAAATTTTATTGTGCGGACTAGATATTATTTTACTCAAAACAAAACAAAATCTTCTTTGTTCCTTTTTTTTTTAAATCTCGTACACAGGCAGTGGTTAAGTGTTTGGCAGCTAGCTCCCTGGAGTGGTTTGGGATCAATTAGATCCAGTTCAGTTCAGCAAGCACTCGCTTTGAACTGGAAGCACCAGTGGACAGACAGACAGACAGAGGAGCGAGGAGCTTCCCATCTCCAACAAGCTCTCCGTTCTGTAGGGGAGGCAGGGCCCTGAGGTGCACTCGTTAGGTCGAGAACGGAAGAGGAAGGAAGAAGTAGGTGTGTGTTACCAGGGAAACCCAGAGAACAAACGCCTTCGAGAAGGATGTGCTGAGAGCGCAGATGCGTCTATTGGAGCTGGCAGAAAGGAGGCTGTTGATCATTTCAGGGTGACGCTGGGAAGGGAGCCCCACTCCCGTCTGGAAAGACCGGTTGCGGGAGGCAGCGATAGGGAGGGGAGATCGGGATTTCAGATACCGCTTTTGAGGACCTGTTCTTTGGATGGGAAGGAGGAACTGGAAGGTGGAGGGGGCCAAGGGGCCAGAGGAGGGTTTTTGAAGAAGGAGGTGATGATCAAACTTAAAGCTGCATGAAGGAAGGAGACTGGGGACTGCGTGGAGGTTGAGTGTGAGAAGGCAGATGAAAGTACAGGCTGCAAATTTGAATTGGCGTTGGCTTGTAAAGGATCCCTGTGGCGCAGTGGGCAAAGGACTCAGTTATTCACTGAAAAGTAGGCAGTTCAAACACACACACACACACACACACACACACACACACGAAAGATGTGGCTGTCTGCTTCCATAAAGATTAATAGCTACTGAAAGCCTCGGGAGTGGGGGGCAGTTCTGTGCCGCCCTGTAGGGTCACTCTGCCTGGGAATCGGCCCGACTGCAGTGGGCTGGGTCAGAATGACTTCCAAAGGAAGTCTGGTAGCGCTGCCTTAGGCAGCTTTTCGAACTTGGAATTTTCATCTCTGAGCTGAAAATCGGAGGCGCTGTTTAGACGTGGTGGTACCCTGTTTCCCGGAAAATAAGACAGTGTCTTATATTAATTTTTGCTCCCAAAGATGCACTAGGTCTTATTTTCAGGGGATGTCTTGTTTTTCCATGAAGAAGAATACGGTACACATTTATTGTTTTATTAAAAGAGACCTCACACTTCCTGTCTGCTCCGGCTGTGCTCCGGCCAACAGTGAGCTGCGTGGTGATGCCCGCCGCTACGGTCCAGAGTTACAGTAGCTTCGAGGGGCCTTATTTTCAGGGAGGTCTTATTTGGGGGGGCATGCCTTATATTTCAGTGAAAGGCAAAACTATAAGTAGATTTTATTTTCGGGGGATGTCTTACTTTTGGGGAAACAGGGTAGTTATACCATTCGTGTCGACTTAATAACTAGAGTGAAGGAGTGGAGTCTAGCCTGTCAATCAGGCCACAGACCGATTGTACCTCCTGGTGGGCATGACCTTCTCATGTGGATTCTGGAAACTTCGTCTCTTCCTCCCTGGAGGCGGGACACACACACGCTCTCTCCCTGCTTCACCTTCCTGTTGACAAGTCACATGGAGCCATGTTGATGGCAGCCAGAGCCCTGGGGAACGCATCACACCATTGGACCCACAGGACTTTCCACTCACCGGCCTGTGGTCTTCCTGCATGCTGTATCATTGCATGTGCTGCCTGAGTCTAATGAGGAAGTCATGGCTGGTAATGGATTCATGGGCTAATATCAAACTTAGGGACTTGATCTGGATTAGCCTGGGATGTTTCATTAATGTACAATTACTTCTTGATTTAAAGTTCTCTCTATGAGTGTCTCTGGATTTGTTTCTCTAGCCAACCTGCACAAACACAGAAGTTTTAGTTGACTGACCCACGCAGGTCGAAGCCAACTCTGCAAACCTAAAGGAAATTAAACTTAAAACCCACCTGTCAATATGCAGTAAGTGAATTCATCAATGGCAGGCCACCGTAATTCTTCATGGGCCTAGAGTGGGCCCATCTTTTTTGAGTGGTGGCCGGTGGTTTCGAACTGCTGACCTTGTAGTCAGCAGCCCAAGGTGTAACCACTACAACACCAGGGTTCCTGTTTGGACTGATGAGGCCAGTTGGACTGTTTAGGGGAATTTAACTCAAGAGCTCATCAAGTCTAGCTTAGCTGAACCTTGGAAGTTGAACCAATTGCTGGCCGATGGGGATGGTGTTACTTTGGTTGGTTTGGATCAACCAGATCCCATTCCTTGAGCTGGGGACAGGGCCTTGAGCCTTGAGTAAGCCGCTCTGCCCTCAAAGGGGAAGAGGAGTTCCAGCGGTCAGAAAAGGAGGTGCTGATGGCAGGGAGGAGAAGAATGAGGGTGCGCGTGTCTGCCACAGAGGGTGGGAACTTGATAACCAGGCCGGCTTCCTAACGATTTCATCCTGCTTCA